ACTGCAGCTATGAGTGGTTATAAGCTGGATAGTGCTTATAACAAATGTTCTATATCTATACATGTACTGTATACAACCCCTGCTCCTTTTACAAATAAAAAAAAATTGAGAAATTAAACATAGACAAGATAACTGATGTTTATCCATTTTCCATTATTTATTCAAATCTTATTTTCAACAAATCTGTCAATATATGCAAGATCATATTCAAAGCCCTCCCACAGCCCAGCAGCATTACAATTACTGAACCACCATGGTGTACAGTATAAAATAAGTGCTATCTACAAATATGGTTTAAGCTTATTTATCCTACAGTCATGACAGATAAACAAGTAGTTCATTTGCTCTCAGCAGAATTTCCTTCTAATACATAAAGAGTATGATGACAGAAAGCAACAGACTGGATATTAAAAATACTTATAGGTCACTTCTGCTACTGGAGGAATGGGGCCAGACTGCACAAAAGAAATCCAGAAGGCACACTGTGGCATCCGTTAAGGCTAGAATTACCAGCCTTTCAATTTCTTGCCTTTTGTGAACCATATTTTGCAACAAATATTAAAATGCTAATTTGTTTGAAGTCTTATTACATGCATTTATCCCTAATATCTTGCCTATAGCTTTTTAAAAAATGTTTCATTTTTAGAAGTATTGTTAATTTCCATTTTGTTAAAATAATCCCTAAAGCTTGTAATTTTTGAACGTGATCAATTACAACTCCCATCATTCAGCATGTATCAATTAAGCTAAGAGCGTTGGTGATTTGTAGTCAAATACATGAGGTGAGCACCAAGTCAGGAAATGCTATTTTCGAAAAACATTCTTATCTACCACAATTTATTTATGAATGCAAAAGGAACTCTTTTTTATATTGGTTCCTGCTATTTATTTCAAAACATGATTTTGCTCTTCTCTAATTCACTGTTCTCCCAATGTGTTGGCTCTCAGTTTTTATCTTGCCAACTTGTACAGCTAATAGTAGTTGGCAGGAGATGGAAATCCAGAACATTTAGAAGGCATCACGTTGGGGAAAGCTTCATTAGAAGATAAATATCTGGATGGAGAGAATGTTCAAAGTTATTTTTGGTGAAACACAATGTGAAAAGACAGCCTTATTTCAAATGGGGAACATCAGATCCATGACAACCATAGAAAGTGTTCTCAAGATACAATTCATCATCTTCCAATATTAAAATCACTTTTCTTAAAACAAACAAAAGCTTTTTTTAATGGTACATGGAATTATCATGTTGGTCCTTTTTCTACAAGAGAGATAGGGTGGGTTAAAGCGAGTATAGTATTTTCCCTCACACTTATACTAGTGGTAGGGTTCAAAAGCTATCTGAAATTGCTTCTTATGGAAGGAGACAGTTCCTTTCTCCAATTCTGGACTGACAAGCCAGAAAAAAAGGGCTTAGTGTAACACAGCTTGAAATATCAGGAATACAGGCGAGGCATTAAAACTCCTTCCAATTTACAGATTTTGTCAGTGCCTGAGTATGCTCAATCTACACAGTAAAAGAGGGACCTTCATAACGTCCAGTGTATATTCCTATAGTCGACAAAGGGTAATGTTAAGGAGTATATACCAAAGTTATAGGATCTGAGTATCTGGAGGGGGCCCTAGCTCTTGCTGGGTATTATTTTTTTGGTACTTTCCTGCTGAAAGATGCTTTGACCAAGGCACAAGCATTGAAGTGCTCCGTAAGGATTACTTCCTATCCCTATGTGCTAGGGAGTTCCTAGTATCAAGGGCAGCTGAGTTAGCTGTACTTATGGAGTGTGCCACCCCTATGAAGCAGACTTTATCTTTAATCTCACAAACTAGTTTGATGCATGCCTCGATTCCCTTGGAAATCAGATTAGGAAGGCTTTGCAGCTGAAATATAAACGTTGAAAGTCAACCAGGATGTTTTCTACGGTTGTAAAGTCCTGTTTTATTTAGGTAGATTTTGATGGTTCATATAGCACTTCTATTTCAGAATTCCGCCTGGCTGTACTATTATGACTATTTCCAATTTCATCCCTTTCCATATTGGGTGTTCTGAGGACAACCCATGCAAGGGTTTGAACAGGGAATGACTGAGGGTTTCTGAATATTAGTTCTATTAGAAGATAACTGATGGTCTTAATAACAGCCCACCTCAAGAATTTCTTGATAACTTTGGATAATTTTGTTATTTTATCATAGTCAGGAAGATAGTTCTACTCAATGTGTCAGCCTTCCCAGGTATATCAGATGAGAAACAGACCAGATGAGCTACTTCAGTTTTATTGTAAGGCTATTTTAACAGAATCTTGCAAGTCTGAAAGTACAAATCTTCCACAGTTTTCTTTAGAGCCTGAAAACTGGGAAGAGTCCATTCTGAACCTCTTTCTCTGCCTGTTATATAGCTGTGGGATGTACCCTCTCTTTCTGATCATTCCCTTTGCTCTGCTTCTCAAGGTGTTTCTCATATATTACTACAACCTGCAGTCATCTAATTGTAAGCAGCTGAATGAAGATGACTGAATCCTCCTTGGCTTAGCCACTCTGATGATGCTAGACAGCTTGTTTGTTTGTTGTTCATTCATTCAATTTCTATAGCTGCCCATCTCAGCAAACAGCTTAATGGACGGCAAGTTGACAAGGTGACTAGAACTGATGGCCAGGATCTGTTAGCCCAAATGAGAGCTACCAGCTACTTTCTGGCTTCAAATAGTCTCAGAAAGAGATGAACGGAGGGAAAGGAGGCATTGAAAATGTTTGTTGCCTGTGCTCCCTCGAACAAGAAATGTTATTCTTATGACTGGTGGAGGTGAAGGTCTATTGCTACCTTCCAAAAGATTGATATGATTTGTTCCAAAGTGGTCTAAGATATTGCACAAGTACAGTTAGCATCTATAAATGCATATAATAATGTTGCTATTTGGGGTAGTTTTCTCTGGAACTGCTGGCATTTTGAATGGGAGAAATATATACCGTGTTGGAATTTGACCTTTTTATGCTTTTATGTAGGGTTTCGCTTACAACTAATGGTTGAGATGTGTGAAAAGTTGAATTTTATATATGTTAATGTTAATAGTTTATAGCTCTTTTTTGACTTTTGGCTGATAATTTGGTTAAAAAGACGTTATTTGATTTGCCTATTAAGTTGGGCTATGGGATGAAGAGTTTTATATTTGTTAATTAAGAGGAGAGGGTTTATGAAACTGTTTATATACTTATATATGAGGGTGGAAAGTTGCTTTGTTAAAAGGGGGGTGCTTCTTGCTTTTTCATTTTCTTGTACTTTTTTCTTTCTTTACTTTTTAAACTTTGTATCATCTTTTATTGTCCTTAGTAAAATCACTGGAAAAAAAGCTACGTGTATAATAAATTGTACCTTTAACTAAAAAAGCTGGGGAAATGTGAGTTGCATCCAACCCATGAAATGACAACACATGTGTGTGTTCCCTGAGAGTTGCTCTGAAAGTTCTTTGGAATGTAATTCTTCAGATGGACATAACATGAACATTTGAGAAATTTTCACTTCATAATCAACTCAAGTTTATGGCATCATTAGAACAAGAGTGCTTGTATTTAAAGAAGCAATCAAAAATTCATTAAAAAAACCCCTCACCTTTCCAGTATCTCATTCAACTCAACCACAAAATTGGGCACATGATGAAGATAGTGGATTATTAAACTATATCATACGTAAGTAAAAGATTCATTTTCTCTGAAAGCATGCGATCAGGTTACTGTATTATTATTTTTTTTACAACGGAAGCCAAAATCCCCCCCCTCCCCCAAGTCCCCACACAAGGAGCCCCACAGCCAGAACAAAGATGACGTGCCCAAACAAGACTGAAATGCATTCAAAATAACCACAGACTGAGTCCCGGTTTTCTTCCCTGGACAGGAATTGCTTTTCCATTCTCAGAAGAGACTTCAATCTAATAGAGGTTTCTGTTAAAGCAAACTTTCCCAACCTTTGCAATTCCCTTGGTATATGGACTTCAACTCTCAGAATTGCATAACCAGCATAGCCATTGCTGAGAATTCTGGGAGCTGAAGTCCATTCCCTTTCAATTTGCCACGGAGGGAAACAGTGTGTGAAAGGGGTCACTCTTCATCATTTTTCCTCCTGTTTTCCTTTCCTACTCAATATGATATCACAGAATTTCTCCGAGTTCTTTAAAGTAGAGCTGTTAGAAAATATTAGTTAGGACTCAGCTTTACAGGTGTAAATAATCTTTCCTACTGTTTTAGTGAAAATAAAGGAGGAGGTTATAGGAAAGTTCCTCCTGTTAGTTTTTCAAAGGACATTTGTGAACAAGCGAGAAATACATAAGCTTTGTGGATTCATGTGCTTTTCGTTAAATATTTAACTTTTCATACACTCTGTGTTCTTAAGTGCTTAAAATTACCATTACTTGTAACTTGAGGGGCATCTTTAAAATCCTTAGTATGGTGGGCCAGAAAATTGGGGAGAGAAAAAATAGCTGGGTTTTTAAAAGAAAAGAGGCCCTCTATATTGCATATTACATATCTACTGTTGCTCAAAATTAAAGCGCTAACCTTTTTTTCTTTTAATGAAAGCAGGCAATATATTAATATGGTAAAAAAAAAGTGACATGTTGAATTTTTCCACTTGCATAGTTCTCCAAGATTTGATTTTACCTGTGTATCAGGTCCAGTTGTATTCCTTTACGTATACATAATTAACCCCAGTGTTAAAGCAGCAAAAATTATTGGGAGTCTGGATTGCATGAGCTTTGATACAATAATCTGGATATAGTTCATAGCATCCCAATGAAATTTCATTATGCCTATGTGGGGAAACACTCCTATGTTTCATAAACAGAAGTGAACATTTAGTTCTGAAACAGATTTTATACTGTATAGGAGAGCTTTCACGAATAGCCTCTCCTTCCCTCTATACTGTATATACCAACAGATATGAAAAAAATGTACCGGTATTAGTTGGTCCTTACAACAAACTATTTAAGAACTTCCATGTATGGAAAAGAAAAAAAAAACACTTTTCTAGACCTGAATAATGTTATTCAATCTCGGTTACTTAAGTACTGATTACACTAACCACTTAATTTTCTGCACATTAATTTCAGGTTTGAATGAAATGCATGCAGATACTTGCCAGGTCTGTATTTCTGCTTAGGAGTTTAATGTCGATTTATTATTAGGAAACTGAAGTCAATGGGCAGACCTGTGTTTCTCTTCTTTCGTGTATATTTTTCTTTGAACCATGATTTTTGTCCACATGCACACTTTTCTCAAACTCAAACTTTGTCCAAGCATATCTGTACATGCTCTGATACTCGAAGGGGGAGTGTTTTTAGCAAGCATTCTTCTACAATTAGACAACTCCGTTTCAGAGAATTACATTCCTCTAGCTCAGCAGGAAGTAACTCCAGATAGTTTCCTTTGAGCTCCAGCTGAACAAGGCTGGAAAGCTCACCAACTCGAGGGGACAAATGCATTAGGCTGTTATGTCCCAGAAGAAGGTACTGTAGCTTTTTGCACTGGAATAATTCGTCAGGAAGTTCTTCAATCTAAAAGAAACAAGTAATAAAAAGATGTTTTCAATTTGCAAACCAGTCCTTAAAATACACCATGCAAACATAGTATAAGGCAGTGTTTCTCAACCTTGACAATTTTAAGGCATGTGGACTTCAATTCCCAGAATTCCACAGCCAGCAATGCTGGCTGTGGAATTCTGGGAGTTGAAGTCCACATGCCTTAAAATTGTCAAGGTTGAGAAACACTGGTATAAGGAATGTCCTCAAATTATAACAGTGTTCACACTTTCCTTCTTCTTTCAAAGGTCATATTAATCAAATGTATATTTTTAAATAAATCCCACAATAGTAAACATTACATGTAATTGTTAATTCACTAGCATCCCAGGATAATGTTTCAAGATCCAACATATTGGATCTTGTTAATTCACTCTTTAAAGCCTATTGCCAAACAAAGACTTGCAATGAACAACTGAGTAGTCTGCTGCAAATCTCTAAAATATGAGCAAGTATCACTACTCATATGGCCTCCCTCAGGGAATACTAACTGAAGGCAGGAGGAGGTAATTTGATTTTACAAAATGGCTTCTGCAAGGGCAGCAGGAGGAAAAAAGAAAAAGAAAATGCATAGATACTGGCTACTAAGATTTGAGATTAAATTGGAACACCTGCTAAAAAAAAGAGCTTTTAATGAAAGAGAATTTCTTGTAAGTACCAGAGAGTTGAGATTTCATTCCTGAATCACTAAAAATAGATAAAAAGTTACTTCCTAATATAATTAGTGGAAATGAGTTTCCCTTACTAAAACAAGGAGAGCAGCACCACATTTAAAAAAAAATGTTTTTTTTTCCTTTCTGCACCTGTACGTCATCTCTTCCAATGAATACTAGTAAGATTTAGAAATGCTGTCCTTTATATTCTCAAAAGAATTTTGTATGACTTGAGACGCACCATCACTAATACGGTTTGTCTATGATTGTAGACTTTGGAACCCTCACGTGATATAAAGACACAGCATTCTACAACAGAATCCTTTGATAAACACAGAGAGCACCATTAGTTCTTCAACAATCAGTCCTACTACTGGTAGATAGTTTCTGTTTGTTGCCTTCAAGTCAATCTTGACTCCTGGGAACTGCCTACACAAGTCCCTGCAGTTTTCTTGTAGTGGTCTGGCCATTGCCTTCTTTTTAATAGGGCTGAGAGAGGGACTGGCCAAGGTCAACAAGCTGGCTTCACGCCTAAGGTGAGACTAGACCTCATGGTCTCCCGCTATTTAGCCTGGGGGCTTAACTGCTACATCAAACTGGTCACTAGGTAGACCAGTGATGGCGAACCTTTTAGAGACCGAGTGCCCAAACTGCAACCCAAAACCCACTTATGCATCATCGGGTGCCGGGTAGGCGTGGCCCATTGGGTGGCTGTGGCTGTGGTGGTAACCTGTAGATCAGAGTTCAGTCAAAGATGGGTACAGTATAAATGAGAGGAAACAATGAGGAGGATCTGGAAAAATACTTCAATATTCACTTAAAAGAAAATATTAGCTTCTACTTACATGATTCTTTGTCACAGCAAAGTACTGCAAATTTGCTAAATATTGGATTTCATCAGGAACAGAGGTTAGCTTATTGTAACTCAGATCCAGATGATGTAGCTTTATGCAAAGAAAGAGTTGCGGTGGGATTTTTTTAATGTTATTGTGATTTAAATAGAGCTGTTCTAAGTTTGCTAAGGTACCAATCTGCACAGGGATGTAAGATATTTTGTTGTGCCACAACTTCAGGCAAGAAAGATTTTCAAGGTGCTGAAAGCTAATAATTTCTTCTACTGTTCGGAGATTGTTTTCTTTCAAATCTATTTCACGCAAATAGTTTAGGCTGAAAATAGAATGAGGAATGCGCTCCAAATCACAGCTGATCAGTTCTAAGATTCTCAGGTTTAAGAGCTTCTTCAAGTTGGTCAACACTAACAGTTTTCTCCCCTCATTGTCAATAGATAATTTCTGCAGTGAAGGCAATTGGTCTGTAACCACCTGAGGAATGCGGGAAAGGCTGTTCTTTAAATGAATTGCTTTCAGATTTACAAGGTCTTGAAAACCCTCATTGCAGAAGCCATTCTGGGGTTCTGGCACATAACATCCAGTCAAGTACAGTTCCTGTAAATTTTTAAGATAGAATACCCAGCGTGGAATCTTTCCCATATCAACAGATTTTAGACGCAGAATTTTTAGATTATCTTCGAGGAAGTGCAGTGCTGGATATTCTACAGTTAATGATGAATGATAAATGTTTAGTTCTTTCAGATTGGATAGCTGGTTTAGAGATGGTGGAAGTTTAACCTCAGGAATAAGCTCTAGAGTCAGAACCTCTATCTCTGTGAGTTCAAAGACATCATCTGGAAGACCACTAAGCATAAAAAGATGAAGTTCCATTTTGTCTTGAGGGTTTCGTACCAGCTTGCTCTTCAGTCTCTCTAGAGACCACTCGTTATTGAGACTAATTTGCTTCAGCTTATTTTCACTCACCTCAGAGAGAAATATTGAGAACCGCTTTGAATACAGAGGGTCGTACTGGTCTGCCAGGTGAAGAATAAAGGCAAAGTCATTTTTTACATCAGGGATATCACTGTAATTACTCTGCTCCCTCAGCTCCTCAAAAGAATATTGTTTAAGTGAACTTCTCAGCATCCATAACAAACTGTAAGTGCATGTCAGGCCATATAAAATCACCAAGACAACATAAAATGAAGCAAGCACTTTGAAAATTTCGGCCAGTGAATAAACACATTGGTATCGCTTGTAGCCAGTGAAGGTTTGAATATCAACTGTACAATCAATTTCTAGGTTAATAAAGGTTAAATAATATGGAACATAAATCATTATTAAAATGAACACAACGACCTTGATCACAATCTGTTTTAGATACACTCTATAAATGACATCTTTCTGCTCAACATGTACCCTGAATCGCTTCACTTTCTCAAATATTGATTTTGCTTGTTCCCCTTCTCTTCGGTCAAGAACATTTGATGTGCTCTCTCTTCCAGCAGTTTCTAGTCCGGTCTGTGAGTAGGACATTGATTGCCTCTTGCTCTCCAGCTCTGCCATGTTGCTTGGGGAGGGAAGAAATGTTTTGGATTTGGAGCATGGCACAGTCCTCACAGATTGTTCAGCAACTGTTTCTGATAGGGCACGTGTGGTCCAAGGGGAATCGAAACATTTGTGAAGTATGGCTACAAAATGCTCTAGCCTTGAACTTGTGCTGGGATAGTAAAGCCAGAAATTACTGCAAGCTGCAAAAATGAAAGTGTGGAGAAGCACTAAGTATGGGAAAAATTTGGCAAACCAGTGAAGTTCTCTCTCGTAACACACGGCATCAATGTAAGAATACTGCTGCCTATGAAGATAATTCTGGATTTGAAGAGGACGAATTTCTGGTGTTGCAGAGGTGAAGGATTCATTGATGTTGCTTTTAATCAAATGCCAAGGCACTGCACAATGATTGTCAAATTCAAGCTTGCAAGGAAGACAACATAACAATCTAGTCTGAGTGAGTTGAAGAGCCCCAGCAAGGACGGCAACAAGCAGCATTATCATGGTAAGATAGTAGCAGAAAACATCCCACCATGGTTTCAAGATGTGAAATGATGCCTGGACATCTGCTAAGCATCTGAGTTCAGTTAATGTAATCATGATTTACTTATGACGCAGTAGCAACTGGAAAAGAAAAAATAAAGGAAAATGCTTAGCTAAATTAACTGGATAGAAAGGAAAATTCTATTACGCTAAACAAAATAGTAGCATCGACATTTTAAACAAATGACAAGTCTTTAAATATTATTTCATAATCTACATGGAGTAATGCAATTTATATTTAATTGCAATTTTGTCGTAAATGAAACATTTCTATGAATTTGTCATTTTTTTTTTGTCCTTAAAGATAAATCCTACCTGTTACTGGCAAGCATTAACTCAATTGTGGTACAAGACTTAGTATTCTACATTCCCCCCCCCCTTTGATTCAATTATGTCTGATTCTTGGAGACTGCCTGGACAAATCTTCATTTTCTTGGAAAAAATTTTTAGAACGAGTATGTATATGTGGTAAAGGAGAAGTCGAAGATATATCACATGTTTTATTGTACTGTAAGCTATACCAAGTTTATAGGACAGTATATATTCTCCCCTTATTAGAGAGATTGCCAGGGAGGGCAGACAATTTTTATGTAGGCTTTCTCCTCCAAGACTCAAACCCTTCTATCACGCATGCAGTGGCAAAATACTGTGTTGCGGCAATGTCCACAAGAAAAAAATTGGTTACAGATCTATAGTTGTCAACTTGTGCCAATTTTTGGGAGATATCTCTAATAATGTTTGGAACATTATATTTACTCACACATTAATCGGCTATCCACTCACGTAAACTAGGGAGGGACCCTAACATTTTGAGAACATGTATTTTCTTAACAGGGATGTTATTATTTACTATTAATGTTAGTACTATTTTTACTATTATTATTATTATTATTATTTAATATATTGTAAAAAGCGATGGCTATTGCTGGTCTACGACCGTAATAAAGTTTATTATTATTTTAGAAGTGGTTTGCCCTTGCCTCATTCCTAAACTGAAAGAGAGTAACTACCTCGAAGTCACCCAGCTGGTTTTGTGCCGAAGGCAGGACTAGAACTCAGTCTCCGGATTTCTAGCATGATGCTTTAACCCAGTGGTGGCGAACCTATGGCACAGGTGCCAGAGGTGGCACTCAGAGCCCTCTCTGTGGGCACACGCGCCGTCGCCCCAGTCCTAGGCCTTCAGCTGGGTTTTATAAAACCTTTCCACTTTAGGCCTCCGCCATGTGCCAAAAAAAAAAAAAGGTTCAATCAGTCAATTTCAACTTCTCGTGGGAAAAAAAAGTTCTTGCAAAGTTGGAATTGATTGATTGAACTTTTTAGTCCCACCCAGTCTGCCGTTACCACTGCAGCCATGCCCACCCAATGGGCCACACCCAGCCAATGGGCCACACCCACCCAGCATTCGACAATGCATAAGTGGATTTTGGGTTGCAGTTTGGACACTCGGTCTCTAAAAGGTTTGCCATCACTGCTTTAACCACTGCATTAAATTGGCTCTTTTTCTGAGATATTAATATTCTTTTCAACTACACTCATTTTGCATGAAGAAAGAAAGTGGGCTATTGCTATCCTATTTACAATTAAATTACTTATTCTTCAGCACTGGAAGGATAAACCTATGCCTCAGTTACTTGGTGGTCTACAGAGCCAATGTTAGTAGCAACATATGAACAAGATACATGTATTTCTTTTTGGTTTTTAGCTTTTTATTGTAATTACGTACTTTTATTTGTTTTCTCAATTAAACTAATAAAATCAATTTATTGTGCAGTACTGTAAAAAATAAATTTACAATTTAATCTATTTAGTCAAATTTTCTTCGGGTTTTGTTTGTTTGGCATACATATTCCCAGGAATTTCTCCTTTTTAATTTCAGTTTTTTAATGGTACATAATATTTATACGGTTAACTGCTAAATCAGATTATACAAAGTATGATTTGTTTATACTATTTACATTACTTTAATCAAGGAGCAAACAAAAAAACATTGTGTTCACAATGCATTATTCCTGTACTGAATTATTTGCTTTAAATTACACATTAAATGAAATGATAGGTCTCTTACTTTGAGCAGCCTTTCCTGCTCTGTTTAAAGAGAACATTTCTTAAATAACTTGAAGTTGCTATGATACAAATCTGCATACTGGCACAGAAGCAGTTTCTTGAGACTGTTGTCCATTTCCTTGAGAACATTTCACTGCTAAGTGTGAGGATTTTCACTGAATTTGTTATTCATGAATGGCACAAAAACTATCTTGTTGGTATAGATATCTGTGATTATAATGACTTCTGAACATGCTAAATAATAACAAATAAAGACTCCTGATATAAATGGGCAATGTATATGTTGGAAATATTAATTTGTACTTACTTTCCTAATTGAATGGGATAAAACATAGAAGTACCATTTTCAATCAGGCGGTCTGCATCTTTTAAAACTCCTTAGGCATGCCATCTTCACAACTGTCTTCATCCTGAATATCAACATACAACAGACAAGGATTTAAAATTGACATTGCCTATATTGCTAAACATATAACCACATTCAGTGTTGTGTCAGAATTTTGGAGATACCGTGTTGCAAAGAGAATCTTTGTTTCTAGGATTATATTAATAATTAGTTACATAATATATGGATTTATTATTGAACAAAATTATCTGTTTCAAAATTTAAAAATAATATTTATAAGTTTGCTCTCAATCAATTTATAAAATGCAGACAAGGGATAAAACTACAAACAGAAAATACGTGTAGTATAAAAAAAAGTCCAATTAAATCAAATTTAGAAAATGAGAAAGTTTTTCATCCAAAATTCATGAAATGTCAAACCTCTACTTAACATCTCATCCTAGTTAGCATGCCATTATGGTAATAACACTTACGTAAAATTATATTCAGATGTAAGCATTAGGAGAGTGTTAATGTGAAAGTTACTTATCACATAAAGAAATAACAAGCAAATGTCATATGGCGTAATTAATTACTTACTTTTGGTAATGACTGTTATACTACTTAGTCAGAAACACCATTCCTGACATAAGTTGCAAGTAAAGAATTAGCAATAACATGTTCCATAAAGCTGGTATAAAGCTAGGTAAATAGCCCTACATTTTCAGAAGGGTTTCACCCTTCGTAGATATTTCTAAAGGTCCCTTAAATCATCTTGAAGTTCTATGCTGACTAGT